GTGGCAGCTGCTGCATTGGCCTGTGTTTCACAGTTGGTGAGTGGTCGAACGAGGCCCTTGTTATATGTTTGTTCCGCAGGCACGGACTAATTCACAGCAGCCCACATGAGAGAGTGAGGAAGGATGTGAGAACGGTCTGTATGTACTATTTACTATTTACTATTTAGTATTTACAATTTTACAGTGGGAAAAAAAAAGAACCACCCCTGGCAGGCGCATCGATTGGAGGTAGTGACAACAGGACCTTTACCTTGGATGAAAATTGTTCCGTGAATAAGACATGTTAGGGCCCTTAGGGGCCTTAGGGCACACTCATACTACGACTGTCCCGGATCGAGATCGATGTATCGTTTTCAAACTTTTCATCATGTGGATATGCTTCCTTTGTTAGGAGTGATGAAACCATGTCCGCATGATCGAACCATACCCAGCAGATGCATGGGATGGAAACGTGTATCGACGTTTCGCGCCAATTGGTGTGCCTCCGTGGATGCAAATTTTCAGGCTGCTGACTTGGATGTGAAGAAGAAAAGAAGAAAAAGAAAAAAGAAGAGAATTGCGACAACATCTTTATGTGGTGAGACTTCCTCGGCAGGCACCCCGACGGACCATGCACAAGACTCGGAGTATCTTCGACGGGAGGAAATGCGAGGCCCATACTTTGGCCTTAAAAAGCAAATAGCAGTCTTCATATACTGCAGTCGTAGCCCTGCAATGACTTCCCCCCTACCTGCTTCAGCATGGTATGCTAACACCTCCGAGCAACCATGCGAAAAGGGTTCGGCACATTTTCTCACCGCTAGTTTGAGTTTGGCGATTTTTCAAATTGCCGGGATGCAATTTCAAGTTTGCAGACGTGCCAATCAACTTCGGACAATACGAAGCACCAACCAACTTTGCACAATCCGTGAAGTCTAATCCGATTGAAGCTGTTTACTAATGGTGCAGCGCATCATGTAAGGGGGCTGGCAAAGCCATGGGAGGATGATCTCGTTCCTCGTTGCGCAAGTAGAGCTAACTGAGCGCACACGCTGTATGGGTAAAAGCCATACATAGCGTCATGGCCTGCGGAGAACGACACGTATATGACACAGAGTACAATGTACAAGCCATCCATCATTCACATTTGCTGACGTGCTTACATGCTATAGCCTCATCTCACCTGCTGCACGACATGCACAGCAATCAATCCCTCAGCACCACCTTGCAAGAAGTTATAGATGTGCAACCACCAGCTGGCGCAGCCACCATCACATCAATTTCCATCTTCCTTCAGAGAGCCCGAGTGGTCGAATGCGACAGACTGCAAACCTGCTGAAGGTTATATTTTTATTTTTTTATACATAGGTTCGAATTCCACCCCTCCCATTTTGTGGCCTTCATACATTCATTAATTACATGTGCCTCTCCCACTTTGTGGCCTTCGTGCATTCATTAATTAGTAATTACATGTACAAATTGTACTTGCGGGGGGCCAAAGAAATGGTAAACTTCTTTCTCGATGGATCTTTGTTAAGGTACCTCAGTTGGTTAAGAGCAAAGGACCGAAAATCCTGGTGTCCGTGGTTCGAATCCGCTTCTAAACAGGCAACATCAATCTCTTAAAAATCTCAGGCACCTTGGTCAAGTTGCAACAGACCATTACCAGGGCAGATGCATAATAAAGGTAAACAAAGGTATCCTAATTTGGAAAGTGTGACATAGAAAGTTGTGAAGCAGCTTCGATAGAGCAACTGAACTGAAGCAGTTCATTGTACCGGGATAGTATCTGATACTAAATAAGTACATCTTCAACACAGAATCAACTTCAATCAATAGATTCAATAGAATCAATACTGATTCAATCAGGGCTGCATCGGCAACCGCCCGGTTGGACTGGACCGGATCCAACCGGGCCGGTCGGCCCCCCTGTGGTCCAACCGGAAATCCGGTTGGGCCCAAAACCGGGTCAATTTTTTTTTTTTTTTTTTTTTTTTTTTTTTTTTTTTTTGATGACGGGGGTGGGCTGCGCTTGTCGAGATCTCTCCGAATCAGGGGAGAAAAAAGTGGTCTGAGAACTTTTTTTTCATGGGGAGTGGGGGGGAAGCGGGTATTTCAAGGGTTGGGGGGGAGGGCCGTACTTCAGGGGTTGGGGGGTTTCTGTGGGGGTGTTAGTGGGGTGGTCTCTCTCTCTCTCTCTGTTGCATACTGGTGAATACTTCACCAAGTATGGGCAGAACCAAAGATCAACCAATATAGGATGAGCATGTATACAGCGGAAGTCTGAGAAATGGACTGACTCACATAGACTGAACTCATCCAGACATCACTCAACACACAAGCAATGGGGAGATGGTGGGGTCTGAAGCCAATCATAGACGATGCTTCAGGCCCCGTACAACCATACACTGATGAAAGGTGGGAGGAGAGATGATGGAGGTGGGAGGTATGGCAGCGCCAGATGTCACCGAGATAGAATCCAGAAGGTCACCGATATGGTAGTCCAAAATTTCACCGAACAAAGATCAGAATGTCGTGGACAATGAGTCGCCAATGTCGGAGGTACAGAGTCCTAATGTAACCGATCTGTGATGCCGCCCAGTATCAATCCCAACTATCTCCAAGGTCTCGAATCCGGTAAGTATCACAGCCTCCTACCACCGAAGTCCAAATGCTGATCTCTGTCCAACTTGTAGTAAAGTCTCCAGTCTGACGAAGAAGAAGAAGAAGAAGAAGTCTGAGGGAGAGGAAGGAGAAGTCTGAGGAAGAGAAGAAGAAGGAGAAGAAGAAGAAGAAGACTGAGATGGAGAGGAGAGGTAGAGATGGGGGGAGCTGGTGCGGGACCTCAGGCCGAACCTACAGATAGCAAGCTGGCGTCTAGGCGGCGGCGGGAGTCCTGCTGCAGATCGTTGGAGCTATGGCGCTCCATTGTCTCAGGTGAGTCCTCCTCGCTCATCCTCGCTCGTCCTGGACTGCAGTGCGCTAAAACTAGCGCTGTAGTTCCTAGCGCCGTGCTGAACCGAAATAGCGCAGCGCTACTCTGGCTGCTCCTGTTCCAACCTGTGGGAATGGCCGCTGGACCGGCCTAAGTACCGTCCGGCGGCCGATCGACCTCGATGCTGGCCTCCTGCGCCCTGGGCTGAACCGTCAAAATGACCGTTTGGGCCGGCAGGCGGCAGCCTCAAGAGCGCCGCCAGGCCCAAACGGTCATGTCGTTTGGGCCAACCCTGGTCTACTAGGCGCTGAGGCGCCAACCGGTGGCCTAACAGGGCCTACCGGGGGAAAAAGGCTTGGCCTTTGGCGAGGCTGGCCTGGGTACCCCCTGAACCGGTATGTCGGGCCTGTGAAGGCTCGTGCGAAGTCACATAATGTAACACACTCCCCCCCTTAAAAGACTAAGCTACCTGCGAGGGCGAAGTTGTCTGTCCGATACCTTGGTGGGTCGGGTGGGACGAACTTTGTCCTTGGCAAGTCTTCGGTTCTCGTAATCGGAGAAAATGTGCCTGTAAGTCTGCGCGGGAGATCCAACGAGTGTCATCCGGGTCACATTGCTTGAAGGTGACTTGATATTGCATTGGCTTGTTGCCAAACTTGCGGTGCATGATGACACGGTCAACTTCTTGATGGTCGTCCATAGAGGGCGGATCCTGTGATCGTCTGCCCGGGAACTCGTCTGCGGATGGTGGCGTATAGACAGCCAGCTTCGACGCATGGAACGGGTGCACGCGAAGGTGTGGAGGGATGGCAATCACAAAGGAAGGACCTGCAGGGTCGTCGCCTGCGGCAGAAATTACCTTCCATGGTCCAAACCGTTTCGGGAGGAGTTTGTGCGAGACGTCCTGCTCCAGCGCGAATTCCTCAGTGAGGACCCAAACAAGGTCTCCCTCCCGGAAAGGACATGGGAGTCGGCGTCGGTTAGCTTGCTTCCGCATGCGGAGTGGAGCCTTTTGCATGTTCGCGCGGGCTTTGATCAGCAAGTCGCGGTACTTCCGGACGGAAGCGGGAAGGCAAGCGACGTCGATGTCGGCGGCCCGTGGTAGAAGAAGATCAGCAAAGACTCTGGCTTTCTCTCCACCGTGATGCAACTCGAATGGAGTGATGCAGATCGCCGGGTGCACAAAAGTGTTATAGGCGAACTCGATGTCGGGAATCCAGTCAGCCGAATCTTTCTGGTCGGGACGGATGAGTGTATGTAACATCATTTGAGCGGTCTGATGAGCTCGTTTCGACTGCCCATCCGTCTGCGGGTGCCGTGTGGGGCTGTAGCACGGTACTTGGATGGAAGAAAACGAGCCTACTTGCTCAAACGGTCAACGACCGTGAGGATGCTGTCATGACCGAGGCGATCACGGAGAAACGGGCCTGTAACATCCATATCAATGGAGAGGCGTGGTGCCCGAGGGATTGGCATCAGTTTCAGTTTGCCATAAGGGACCTGAGATTTACCTTTGTTACGATGGCAAGCTGCACATGACTCAATGTACCTCGTGACGTCATGAAGAACGTCAGGCCAGTGAAAACGCTGGCGGAGGCGGGCCAATGTGCGGGTCACGCCGAGGTGTGTTGAAAGTCGTGCGTCGTGGAATTCACCGAGAAGACGAGTCCGTAGGATGCGATCTTGGGGCACCACTAACAAGTCCTTTCCTCTCGTGTGGAGTAGGAACCCGTCGAAGATATGATAGTGACCAGTCGGCGGGTGATCCGACGAAAGCTCCACGTAGAGCATGGAGTATGTCGGGTTGGACTTGTAGCCGTTGACAAAGTGCTGCTGAAGGTCATCGTCGAGCTGGAACGTCGTAGTCACTAGGGCACAAAAATCGGGCCGTCGTGAGAGGGCGTCCGCTGCTCGGTTGGCGGGACCGGGAATGTGGCATGGGTCGAAGTCGAATTGGTCGATGTAATCAATCCATCGACCGATCGTGCTAGTGACCGTGTCATGCGTTTCATAGTAGGTCAACGGATTATTATCCGTGTTCCATTTAAAATGCCGACGACCGAGAAGAAAGTGGCGCCACCGTTTGAGAACGGTGACGAACGCGAGTAGCTCTTTCTTCCTAGCGTCGTCGAGAGTGTTGATGAGAGGCACCTTTTGGGAGAAGTACTCGACCGGGTGTCAACCGTCCGGGTGGCATTGTTCTAACACCGCACCAATACCGTATCCGAAAGCGTCCGTAGTCACTTGGGTGGGTAGGGTGGGGTCATAGATACGGAGGGCCGGTGCATCTTGCATCACCGCCTTCAACGTATTGAACGCGCCACGGGCTGCGTCGTCGAACTCGAATGGTACCTTCGGGGACTGAAGTCTCGACAAAGGAGCTGCCACTTTGGAGTAAGACTCGACGAAGCGCTGATAGTTTCCAGCCAAACCCATGAAAGAGCGTATGTCCGCGCAACGGGGTTCCGACCAATCCACGATGGTTTGGATTTTGTCCGCTAAGGGACGAATGCCTTTCAGCGTCACATAATGGCCTAAGTACTCGAACTCTTGTTTGGCGAATTCACACTTGTCGCGGTTTGCTTTGTACTTGGCTGCTCGCAAACGATCCAACACCGCACGAAGGTGTACGAGGTGCTCGTCAAGCGTCCTACTATAGACCAAGATATCATCGAGGTAGATGAGGATGGTATGATCGAGCAAGTCTCGGAACTCCGTTGTCATGGCTGCTTGGAAGGTTGCCGGGGCATTGGTGAGTCCAAATGGCATCACGACCCACTCAAAATGCCCATACCGCGTTTTGAAGGCGGTCTTGTACCGGTCTTGAGGCTGGATCTCGATCTGGTGGTAACTCGACTTCAAGTCCAACTTCGAGAAGTACGTCACGCCGCCCAATCGCTCCAGGAGATCATCAATCCGAGGGAGAGGGCAGGCGTTCTTTACGGTTTGTGCGGTAAGTTTTCTATAATCGATCCACAACCGTAGATCCTTGTTCTTCTTCCGGACGAAGAGAACCTGTGCACCGTATGGCAAACAACTAGGGCGAATCCAGCCTTTGTCGAGAAGGTCATCGAGTTGTGCGCGAAGCACCTCAAGTTCTTCTTCGCTCATGCGGTAAATGCATCCACGCGGACGGACGACACCCGCCTCGAGAGTAATCCCGTAACGTATGGGCCGATTCGGAACCGTTCCGGTGGGAGCCTCGAAGACGTATCCATATCCATCTAAGAGGTGAGTAATACGTGGGTCCTGCGACGACGCGGCTGGTCCGTCCGTCAAGGGGAGGGCATGTAGGAAAACAATGCCCATCTCCTCTACGTCATTCCGAGCTATGGCGTCGCGAGTCCTCGTGACGGAAACCACGTGACAAGCAATCGAAGTGTGAGGGGTCGCGACCGTGCACGGGACTAACACTCCGTTCCGATCACGGACGTGAACGGTTCGGTCATGAAAGTTTACCGGATGGTCGGCGCTACGCAACCAAGACATGCCTAGAATCATGTCGAACTTGGTGTCGAGGATGTCAAAAGACACCGGCTCGCACGCAAGTGGCGCAAAGTAGACCGGAACGCCGCCAACGCATCGGTCAATTGACTTTTGCGTGCGTCCGTCCGCCAGTGTGACTTGCGTAGGTTGCGTCTTCCTTCGAACGCGGGGGCCGAGGCCTGCGTGTGCCATGAAGGCTTGGCTCATAAAGTTGCGAGACGCTCTGCAATCAATCAAGGCACTGCAGGTGGCCTTTTCAATTTGAATGCGGATATAGAGCAAAGGAGCGTCGGTCTCAATGTACCTTTGGGTTGCGTACTCGCGGTCAATCTTCGCAAGACAGGAGCGGAGATCGACAACCGCTACTCCACCGTCCGTCAATGGAGTTGGTACTGCAGCGTGCAAGTAGGAGCGTAGATTTGTCATCAAGGCGTTACAATGCGGCTTTGGCAAGGATTCGGTCGAGGGTAGAGGCATCCAAGAGAAATCCTCTCTCGTGAGCGGGTCGAGGTTCTCAAGCCTTGACCACGCCGCCGAGTCCTCGGAAATAAGTGGCGAACTAACCGGTTCTCTTGCCGACGGTGTACAAGCTACGCATACACTATCTAAGTGCACGTGGCTAGGCTGGTCCAATGGTGGCACCAGCTGGGCGGCATAATCCTCGTATGTATCACGAGAATCAGTGACTAACGCATGCTCCACGGTAGTGATATCGGTTGCTAGCAAGGCAACCGGTTCCGGCGGAGTGAGGAGAGGCGTCGCTCCTCTTCGTGCGTAACTCAGTTTCCCGAGTTAGTTGGACGGGGTACGTGTCCCTTGCCCTTTTCTGAGCATTGTGCGGTAGAGTGGTTTACACTACTGCACCAAAGGCAATATCCGTACCATTGATGAAGGTCAAATACTTTCTTGGTAATGTTGTATGCCGTCCATGGTTGCTGCCCAATTTCTGTCGATGTCGTCGCTTGTGTTGCCTTGTTCTTCCGAACTCTCTTGGGACGCTTCGGTGGGAGCGCTGCGACAATTCCTCCATCACTCGAGGATGCCGCTGCAGCGTGGAGATCTACTGATTCGTCAGGAATCACTGCATTGTTATGCGCCGACCGTTGGTAGCCTTGCTTAGCCACATATTGCTGCTGGGACTGCCGTTCATTGGCGGCCTTGTCATCCGTTTGGATGACCAGGTTCGCACGATCCAGAATGGCCTGGAATGAGGCATAGCCGTACTCGTTGCCGAGTGCCGACCGCAGTCCTGCGCACGATCGCGAAAAGAATTTGGATCGTTGGTTTGGGAAACTCAAGTCGAAGCCCGGAGTGGTTACTATCTTCTGCCACTTGATCGTCCAATGTCGAGTTGGCGTGTTCCCTTGCGAGCTGGAGTAGACCTCGTTCATGGCCACCTTTACAACGTTGCGGACCATGAATCGAGTGTTCCACATTTGCTCGAACTGCTCCCACGTAATGTGCATGTGCCGTTGGGCGATGGTGCACCCCAGATTGGCCGCGGTGTGGTTCATCCATGCCTGTGCTCCTCCAATGAGTTGGAGGTAGAGTGCTTTCATCATATCCTCGGCCGGCACGTGGTGGCAGGCTGCTTCGGTGAGGAAGGTTTGCCACCATGCCAAGGCGTCCGTCTTGTTGTAGTCGTCAAACTTGCTGATGTTGAAGTGTGGCATCTTGTATACCTTCGCAGCGGCTTCCGGTCGTGACTGCAGTTTGGTGATGTCCGTCTTGATGGCGGCCACCGTGCTGCTGATCGTGGCCGGACTGGTAGAGTCACCTAGTTCGCCGGTAATCTTGACGACATGGTCGATGCGCTCCCCGAGCTGCTTCGCCGTGTCTGTCGTGCAGCCTGGCGCTGCTGAGGACTTAGCCTCGATGTTGTTGACACGTGTGATGGTGGATGCCAACAGCTGCTGCTGCTGATGTTGTGTTGCGGCGCGGATGGCGGCTGTCCAAGTTGCAGATTCTCCCTGCTGGGTCCGTCTCAGCTGCCGTCCCGTGTGCGTGTTCACAATCTGCATCGTGTTGTTCCACATCACTGCCCTCATCATACTCAGCATTAAGTTAGCCAGGTTACTCCTTTCTGCCTCCGCCGGTGTCGGATCTGCCTGCTCGTCCGTAGGCACAAAGATCATGCCTTGGAGTAGTGCTGTCCACTGACTCTCGTTCTGAATCAGAGCCTCAGTGCTGGCGGCGTTCCGCTTGTCGCGAGCCATTGCGTCAGCCTCAGCAGTCCGCTGAGCTTGGGCTGCTGCTTCTTGGGCAAGCCGCTGACATTCTGCTTCTGCTGCCTCTTGCTGTGCCTTTGCTGTGGCTACGGCATCTGTGAATGTCTGCACCCGCTGAAGATAAGCTGCCAAAGTCTCATGGTCTCCTTGGACCGGACAGGCGGGAAGGATCCCTGCGGTGCCCGGTACTGCAGTTGCTGTATTGGTACTGGATGTTGCTGGAGTCGTTCGCCTGCTGCGTCGTTGTTGCTGATACTTCGGTCGTGGAGGTAACACAGAGTGGCTGCGAACTGCGAGCCTGGCACTGCGTCGTGGCAGTGCCCCGGTGTCCTGTTCCGCCAACATCAGCGCTGCTGATGTGGTACTTGGAGACCTCGGTGCGCACAGAGTACAGGGAGGGGAGGGAGGGTGGGAACAGGGGTAGAACAGATCGAGCAATCCACATACAGTCCCCTGTCCCAATGTGGACTGGACTCCTAATCAAAAGAGAAAGGGAAAAAAAAAAAAAAAAAAAACATAAAAATGATCTTTCCCCCCCGAACAATTTAATTCGAAATGATAAATAAAATAATAAGGAATAATAAATAATAAATAATCATCAATCGATAAATGTTAATAATTGTCAATAACGAATTTTAAATTGTCGGTAGATTAGGTGTCCGTTGAGATCACCTATGGTCCGGGAGTTCACCGTTGTTAGTAAACTTCCCGGAAGTTGCAGTTCTGAGGTAAACGATTCCAAACAGTCTGCCAATCGAGAAAATTTCGGATAGTTAGGAAAAGGAAAACACTCGAATTTTCAAAAAACGTGAAATTTTGGGAATTTCAACCTAACAAAGTCCGATTTTCAGAAGGCCGAAGTCCGCATTCGGAAATTCAACAATTAGGGAGAAAAAAAAAAAAGCGAAAATTTCGGATTTGAACCCTAATTTTCCGCAATTCCGTGGAATTTCGGTTTGTGGTTCCAAAAAACGGATTTCCCCCAAAGTGAAAAACCGAAACTTTTATCGCAACCCTAATTCAATACTGGATTAAAATAGAATACCGAATTTAAACAGAATACCGAATTAAAAGTTAAAACGGAATACTGAATTAAAACAGAATACCGAATTAAAACATAGAATTTTGCAACTTGAATTTCGATAGTAAATGCAGAACTAATTCGGGAAAGACAATGCTAATTAAGCGATTGATTCCCTAATCAGAATTATCCTGTGAGCAGATCCACTTGATTGGTCTGCTCCGATACCAAAACTGTTGCATACTGGTGAATACTTCACCAAGTATGGGCAGAACCAAAGATCAACCAATATAGGATGAGCATGTATACAGAGGAAGTCTGAGAAATGGACTGACTCACATAGACTGAACTCATCCAGACATCACTCAACACACAAGCAATCGGGAGATGGTGGGGTCTGAAGCCAATCATAGACGATGCTTCAGGCCCCGTACAAACCATACACAGATGAAAGGTGGGAGGAGAGACGATGGAGGTGGGAGGTAAAGGCAGCGCCAGATGTCACCGAGATAGAATCCAGAAGGTCACCGATATGGAAGTCCAAAATGTCACCGAACAAAGATCAGAATGTCGTGGACAATAAGTCGCCAATGTCGGAGGTACAGAGTCCTAATGTAACCGGTGTCCAATCTGTGATGCCGCCGAGTATCAATCCCAACTATCTCCAAGGTCTCGAATCCGGTAAGTATCACAGCCTCCTGCCACCGAAGTCCAAACGCTGATCTCTGTCCAACTCGTATCAAAGTCTCCAGTCTGACGAAGAAGAAGATGAAGAAGAAGTCTAGAGAAAGGAGAAGTCTGAGGAAGAGAAGAAGGAGAAGAAGAAGAAGAAGACTGAGATGGAGAGGAGAGGTAGAGATGGGGGGAGCTGGTGAGGGACCTCAGGCCGAACCTGCAGATAGCAAGCTGGCATCTTGGCGCCGGCGGGAGTCCTGCTGCAGATCGCAGGAGCTATGGCGCTCCACTGTCTCAGGCGAGTCCTCCTCGCTCCTCCTCGCTCCTCCTGGACTGCAGTGTGCTAAAACTAGCGCTGCAGTTCCTAGCGCTGTGCTGAACTGAAATAGAGTGCTACTCTGGCTGCTCCTGTTCCAACCTGTGGGAATGGCCGCTGGACCGGCCTAAGTACCGTCCGGCGGTCGGTCGGCCTCGATGCTGGCCTCGTGCGCCATGGCCTGAACCGTCGAAATGACCGTTCAGCTCAGACCGGCGGGCGGCAGCCTCAAGAGTGCCGCCAGGCCCAAACGGTCATGTCGTTTGGGCCAACCCTGGTCTGCTAGGCGCTGAGGCGCCAAGCGGTGGCCTAACAGGGCCTACCGGGGGAAAAAGGCCTGGCCTTCGGCGAGGCTGGCCTGGGTACCCCCTGAACCGGTATGTCGGGCCTGTGAAGGCCCGTGTGAAGTCGCAGAATGTAACACTCTCTCTCTCTCTCTCTCTCTCTCTCTCTCTCTCTCTCTCTCTCTCTCTCTCTCTCTCTCTCTCTCTCTCTCTC